TCATAATGAGTCTTACGGTCCCAGTTAAATCAGATTAATTTTGAACCTATGTTATCAGCCTTAACTGGTGACTAAGAAAATACTAAGAGTTGTATAATAGTTATATTCTCTTTAGCTTATAAGAAGTAATCAGGCACTAGCCAATAAGTTGATCTAAACTGACAAATATTACAGTGAGTAATGGGCTTTCAGTCGCACTTAAATCGAATTAATTTTGATACAAGCCTCAGCTTGTAACTAAGAAAACACTAAGGGTCGATTGTTTTTCTGATCTCCTTGACTTTAAATTACTTTACTACTCGATACTGACGATTTTCATCGCCAGGTAGTCTCTGCAACAACATATTTCTCCTAGACTAAATATCAAATTCTATTCATAGTCCTACTAATTTATGGTATCGTAAAATAAATTTCAATTAATGGTATTTAAACAACATTTTAAAGTATGCCATTTACTACGCAAGCTAAGATAATGATGATATTGTGAGTAGATACCAAATTGTGTTACCTTAAGAAGAAAGGCATCAAGAATTTTTATATTGCGCGTTTAATACTTACAAACTTTTTAGACTATGAAGGTTGCTGAAGACCGTCTGATTGAGTGAAGGCAGGTAATTATTAGTGATATGCCTATGATAAAATGAAATAAATAATTTAGAGCCAGAAAATGCTGCTAATGAGATTTCCATCTACCGAATTAGTAATATATTTAACCAAATGCTGGATAGAAATAAGACACTAATTTAATAACCGGAAACAATGTAGTCTTACGTATGTATTTTACTAGTTTGCCATCAAGAAAGTTCTTAATTTTCATTGAGTTTCGAATTGTTTAAACTTATTACGCGTCATAATATCGTAATTTTATCTATTATTTCAGTTGCATCTTATTCAGTTGTCATTTGTTAGCTCTTAATACCAGAAGTTTGTTGCAAATCAGCTTTTTTACGAGAGTAACATTGAATAAATATTTGAATTTACGAAACTTGGGAGAATAACTTATCTCGTTAACTTGTAAATCTTACAAGGATTCAGATATCTTTGCTTTTACGTTAAAAAAATAACAAGATAAACGATTTTATATAACCTGCCAAGCCTATAGTTATACTTTTCTCTAATAGTTAAAAATATCATTTGTCATTTCTATTTATATATCTTAGCAGAGAACTTTTACTCAATTTATTGGTATTCATAGATAAACTCGCCTGATGGCATGGAATCTTAAATCAAAGTCGCCTTCCGCTGTAGTTTACGAAATGATTTAAAGTGTAACTTATAATCAATTTTCTGCTAGAATTATAGCTGCGAGGACTTGTCTTGTAACTGATTAATTTTTAAACCGCCATATAATCATATCTGTCACACTATGGCACAAAAATTTACGGCCGTATATTGTAATTGTATTAATCATAATTCACAGTACAAGTATTGAATCGAAATCATGACATCAGAATACGCACATGTAAGTTCATTAAAATTTAAGCAAGCAATCTATTTATAACGGCAGATGGACAGCGATAAATCTGCGTTTAGCACCCATGGTAAAATTATAAAATGTGAACGAGTACATACGCTAAAGTTGTATTGTGATTTTAAATTGTATGATGTGCAAGATATAACATTTTTAATTTAATGAAGGAATTTAACTTGTATGTATGCAGTTATTAAAGATTTAGACTTACAGCTTTTCGAGTTTATTCAGTCCAGTAAAAGCATTAATTTCCATGTAATGAATTTCGTTAGACGTTAAATCCCTAAATCGTAAATAAACCTAAGCAACTTATTCTTACATTTATTCTGTATACCTTTTCTAATAATAGATTAGTTTCGAAATTTTTTTGTATACTAAATTAGCAGTAATTATATGTAACAGTACTGTAATGATAAAATAAGCCATGTGGAGTAGAGTGCGTATAGCTAGCAGTTAATTATATTATATTTTCCGGACTTTGTCTGTGTTTAGATGCTAAGCTATATACTCTACATATAAAGATGTATTTGTGTTGATTATAATTTGTGTATCACTGATTGCCCATTAATTACTCAATTTTTATTAACTCAAATTTTGGGTTACAAGGCGAACCGAAGTAATAGCAGGAGACTATTGCTCGGCCATTATATCGAAATATTACTGGAATCATACTTTTTAATGCATAATTATAAAAGGGCTTGTTTGCTGAGCATTGATTGCTTAAACCTATACTGTTGCTATAGCTAGTAGATTTAGACTAGTTTCCTAGATAGTTGATGAAATAAAATATAAATGTGTTGTTAGCTAGCCAAATAGCATAATTTTTTGTGTACTTTTGGCTTACATCAAAATTTAAACCTAGTGTTTTAATCATAAAGTTCAAATGAAATGATGAACTTTCTTATGTCCACTTTTAGCAGTCAAATAGTACAATATTTTTTTCTGGTGTGATTTAGATAGTTAAAAAATTGAAAAAATAAAATGGCTCGATATTTGATAGTTACTTGGACCGCTGATCTTATGGTAAGCTACATTCTCTTAAATGCAGTATTTTCAT